GCTGATTCAGTTCTTGTTAGGTCTACTTTCTGAAATGTTTATGATTGGGAGACAGAAGTTTTGAAGTGTAAACTAGGCCAACCAAATAACAAAACCATGTAAACTTGGGAAGCTTTGCTAAACCCCTTTTATACACTTAACAGGCATTCCATGGGAAGAAATGGGAGAAGTTTAACAGTGAGAAGGTTGCCTCTCTGGCATATGCAAGAATCCAGGGTAGAGCTGCACTTGTTGCCCACTTCCAGAACTCTAGCTTGATGAATGAAGATAAGAGATGCCGCCCCATTCTTTTTTATTCTGAGGGAGCGGAGGCTGGTTATCAGGTAAAAGATCAATAAGTTTCTGGGAATCTTATGAAGTAGCTTAGTATACTGGATGTATATAAGCTGCATTGAATTGATTGATAAGCAAATTTGTTAAAGCTACCAGAGAATGTCCGATGTCGTTAATTAATAAATTCACATGTTCAGCTTATGCGTGTTAGGGTTCACCAGGATCTAACTAATGATTAGATGTCCTGGACGGTGCATTGAATATGAAGGAGCTTTTTTTTTGTCTTTTTCTGATAGTCAATATTGTGTTGAATGCTTGATGTTAGTATGATTGATGTTACTAGACACATGCTACGGCCAAAATTTAGTCCTTTGCTTTTGGTCGCATATAAGCTGTTTGTGCAAGAGCTGTTGAGGTATAACTGCATACATATTCATGCAGGTAGTCATGCAAAAAAATTGTTTAACTCGCTTCGGTGACTGTTTTGTGACTTTCTCTATTGTTTCCTTATTCCATAAAAACTCGGTTAGTGGCTGAAATTACCAAATAAATAAAATAGTATTCGATGACTGAATATTATTAAATCTTTGTTTATATCCCTTGAGCCAAGGGTTGATTTTCTGGTGTCTATAAAGAAATGATTCCTCTTACGGACATGACTGTTAGTGTTAATCGTGTTCATTTGGATCTATATGTTGGTAAAACTTATTTTTCATCCTTTTCTGACATGTGCTTTTGCGGTTTCGTATGTCAAGTTTTCGCTGTCCTAGATCATGACGAAGTCAAAGATAAAATGTGGTTACTCCGTTTCTTGCAGATTTACTATGTTGATCAACCTTTAGGATTTGTTTCCCATTTAATGGATACGATTGCTAATAGATGAGAAGGTTTTGCAGGAACTCTTTTCATCAAGTCATGTGGATGTGCATCAAGAAGATATGACTGAATCAGTGGGCGACTCACCTGAAGGTCCACGAGGAAGCAGTAATGGGCTGCCAGAGAACACCAACGTACCTGGAACTAGCTTGGAAGGGTAGCAGTTCCTTACAGCAACCACGTATTTGTGAATACTAACTCTCCATAGGTATTCTAAGTGTAAAATACGGTGAGGGGGGGGTGGGTTTGGCAAGGAAACTGCGTGCAATTGTATTCAAGGGTGTGTCCACTTTTGCAGCCACGGATGCACCAAAGCATCATCAGTGCCATTAATCGAAACAGGGATATAAGTCCCTGTTCCTTCTTTTGTACAGATAGGAAGATCCTGACGTCAAGAAATAAAGGTTGAAGTGTATAGGTTTGATCACGGTCAGTCTGCTGGTAAGCACATTGCTAACTGGTGGTGCATGGTTTCATCTTTTTCCTTTTAGGCACATGGTTTTAATGGATGTCTTTTGAACTTTGTATTATTGTACATAATGGGACTTAATTTAGTGCACTTAATTTTCATTACTGTGGCAGTTAATTTGAGTTTGTTGAATGTGTTTAGTGCACGTGGACTGTTCATCTGACCATTTAGTTTCTTCTTTATACGTTTTGCATTCGGACAATTGCTGTTTATTTATAAGTTGGGTGCGTAATGTTATCAATGGCGTGAAGTCCAGAAGTCGCTGAGTTTTAATTCAGTCTGGCGTCATGAACAGGCTGATCAGATGACTGCACCGGCGTTGCCGAGAAGCTGTTCGACGAATTGATCCAACGGAGACAGTCATGTTAGGTACGACGTCACGTGGTGGTGCTTACTCTGGTTGGACGATTGGACGCTGTCGGGCCACTCGTCCTCTGACGCCTTGAGCGCCACATGGTTGGGCAGTAATTACACTTGGCGTCGCAGCTCTGCAGCCACCAAGCATTTATTCTTCTTACGCTTTTCTATGGCCATTAGCCATCCCATACAACTCGGACAGCCCCATGGATAAGGCCCTATTGACCACTATAAAGAAAGGTGAGAAATCACCCGAAAGCGAGTGGTTTATCTCTTTTATCTTGGAGTAGCTCGGTTTAGAGTTGATGGACTGCAGTGTCTTCCTGTTTATGATGCGAGGACACACGTTTCCTCTCTCTTTAATGATTCGAGCTAAGTTTCAGCCACAGCCCTCTCTCAGTTGTTATTTGAGCGAAGAGCAGCTCAATCACATTCTTCGGTGCTTTCCATGATGGATGAGCCTCTCCTTCCCACCTCCGCCCCCAAAACTGCCCCTCCTGCAACCACGGCCTCCTATCCCAGCTTCCTCCGGCGTCTCCGCATCTTCCTTGTCCTCGCCGCCTGCGCCCTGTGGGCAAATTACGAGGCCTCCAAGGGCTTCGACATCACCGTCCTCCACGGCGCCTCGCGCAGCCCCGCCGCCCGCCGATTCGGCCTGCTATTCGTCTCCAACGGCCGAGCCGCCAGGCTCGTCCTCAGCTCCAGTGATCTCGTTCAGCGCGTCCTCTACCCGGATGATTCGTTCCCTCGGAAGCCAGTGCGCCGGATAACGCTTTTCTTGGCCGACGAAAACCTCAACGAGACCGTCGTGGTCAGCCACGGCCGCCACCCAGGCGAGTTCGTAGTCCAGATGAGCCCGGCCGTCATGAAGGCGACGGACGTGCAGATGTCGGTGGCTTCCGCGCTGCAACGGGGCGTGGCTCGCGTCTGGCTCTGGGACGGGCGAGGCCAGGCGCCGAGACCGCTTCTTGACGCCATGGTAGAGTACCTCACCACGCAGAACAACGCCAGTGCTACACTCCGCACCAATTCCTGCTGCGCGGCGGGGGAGCAGCTGCGCGTAGCGCGCGTGAATCGAGCCATGCAGGAGGAGTGGGACGATCGGATGCTGGAGGATGTATGCGGCTCGCCTTCCGAAAAGGTCTGCTCGGCCTGCCTACCTCTTATCGACCTCAGTACGTTCGCAAGGAACGTAGATCCTGATCAAGATCCACAGACATGAGCTTATGAGTTAGTGTTAGCAGTGACAATGGCCGAATAATTGAGGGGAAGCAGTAGTCAATGCATGACGCAGAAGCAAGTGGAGCCGACCGCTGAGCTACGATCTATGCAAGATTAGGACTGCATCTTGTACTACTTTTCTGTGATCCTACAATGGATTCAGTCAGTACCATGTCATGCTTTGAATCAGCGAATGCAAGTAATAGATTATGCAATTAATAGCCTAATCAGTGAATGCTGGAGGATGCACACTTAGTTTCATGTGGTTAGCGTCCATTGCACTGCTCAAAATGACCCAATCGTACACAGTAAAACTTGCATGGTGGAAAAGCTTCAGCTGCTCGATGAATGACGAGGACGGTTCTCATTCTCTTTCAAGCAAACTGCTACTAGATGTTGTGGCTCAATGAGCTCCATTGCCTCGTAGATAGTTCTTGTGCATGAGCGACAGGTCTCATCAATCATGTAATTAACATGGATGGGTCCCAAACTTGTCTGGTGTTTTGGGTCTCTTGCTGTTGACCGTAGCGTAGCAACACCAGATTCCGGCGAGTAGAGCCACACGCAAAAAGCTTTCCCCTTTCTAATTTGCATGAGGAATTCAATACGTAATATCGACATTACAGGAATAGAAGACCGAGTTGTACAGGGAATTCAATACGAAGAGGACTTTTCCTAAGTACCAAAGGAAGACGAACAATAGGAATAGATATCATAAAGGTTAAGCACTGACCGACAACAAGAAACGAGTTCTCCTTTGTAATCCATGGTAATGCCATTTGGCCATTTACATATTAACCTCACATCCAATCTACGTCAATAATAATAATCATCATAGCTTTATGATTCCTGTGGGACAAAACTGGTCAGAGCCCATCGACTAGTGGTCTTCCTCAAATTGAGATCAGTCACACACTGTGTTGGATATGCACGGATTTCATCTCTGAACGACGAAATAATTGGATCTCGAGATGGGATTGGTGTTCGTCGTCCGACAGATGCAGCTTTTCTTAAACACGGATGCGATGTCTGTGATTAGATGTGAAGTAATTGGAAGTGTCTGCACTTTGTTCTCTTCTTCATGTCCAGGAAACGTAAGTGGCCATCAACCCACCATGTCTGGTCTCTTTCTCTTTGCTCTCTCTCTCTCTCTC